CCCCTCCCCCCGCCCTCGGCACCACTCACCAGGCTCCCTGCTCCCCTGTGGCTGGTCTTGCCCCTGCCTTCTCCAGACACTGCAGTCCCGGCCCTCGGGCCACCCTCCCACCATGGCCATCCCCTGCCGTCCCTTCTCTGTCCTCACTGGGAGTGCCTAGTGAGCAGCAGGCCCGAGGGGACCCTCCAGTGAGGTTTGGTGGTGGGGACGGGGTGCCTCCTCAAGCCCCTCCCTCAGCTGGTGAAGCTAAGTCCCTCTAGGGCAGCTCCCAGGGGCTGGAGAAGGTGGCTCTGTGGGCCTCAGAGACTGGACCCATTGTGAGGAGGGACCCTGGCCCCAGAGTCTGGGGTGCCCAGGCCTCCCCCCATGCACAGACCTGCTCATGCACTCACACCCCCATATATACACTCATACACACCCATACACACATGCACACCACATACCCATGCACACACATGCACACACGTACGCACACTTACACACATGTATATACCCTCAGACACATGGATACACACACTCACCCACACACGCACTCATACACACACTCCCACATACACACATGCTCACGTACACATATGTACACGCACACACTTCCAACTCACCTGGGCTGCTGCCAGTGCCGCACCTCCAGGCACGAGCACCCCACCTGAAGGCCCCACAGTTACGGGTGATCAGAGCTGGGCTCGCTTCATGGGCAGTACAGGAACCAGGAACCGGAGCCGCTGGGCTCCCAAGTGGCGGAGAGTCTCTGTTACAGCTGCACAGCCGCCAGGCTGGCCAGGCTCTGGGGCAGTCGCCTTGCCAGGTGTCACCTCAGGGGCCTGGGTGGGGCCACTTGCTGCAATTTAGATAAAGGGCTGGGGCAGGGGGTGCAGCCGGCCCTTCTCTGCTGGACACCCCTGCCCGCAGGCTCTGTGTGGGGCAGGCCGTGCCCGGAGTGAGGGGCCCCCTGGGAAGGGCCACAGCTCCCGCCCAGTGCCGGCGGGACACTCGGGCAGTTAGAGATAACAGTGTTTCCGAATTAGGCTCAGGGACGACTCCGGGGAGGGCTCTTTGGCTGGGGCTGTCCTTCCCAGCACAGCCGGGCCTGGCAGGAGCAGAGGGGGCAGGAGCTGCCCCCTGGCACAGCCTGGGGCCCAGGAGGCCCAGCCGGGGGCCCAGCCTGGGGCGGCTGACTCCCAGCCTGGGGCGACTGCGGGGAGACCTGAGTGTCCCCGACTTCTTTTCCCTTCAATGTGAACCCTGCCAGGGTCCCTCCACCCCCTTAGCAGCGTTTGGTGGGAGTTCGCTTGTGTTTGTGGGGTTTAGCAGCCCTGGATCAGCACAAGGGCGCTCTGGTCCCACCCAAGAAATATTGCCCCTTCATCTG